ACAGTGGGTATCCCTGACAGACACCACTGGTTGTCATCACAGTTGTCAGATGATAACTCTCCGTAAGCTTTTACACGGTTGCGTGTGTTCGAGTAGAATGCCTTGATTGGTGCAATGTACTTTTTTGGCACTCCACGGCCAAACATTGACACAGTACCTCTCGGTCGACGGAGTCGAACGTTGTCTTCAGGTGAAGAAATATGCCTGTTCCAGCATTTGTTGAAGGATGAATATATTAACAATACATCCTCTAGCTGGTCTACAACCTGATTGGTTTTCTCGTATCTCTTTCTCTTGAGCACCACTTAGTCTACACATAACTAGTGATTTTAAAATTTTAGATACCATATTAGTCGAGTTAATACCCCATATGATTATCACACAAAGACTTGCTCCCCTTCTTGTGTACTGGAATAATCAATGACTTACGCCAGTCCAACGAGACTATCTCTAATTCCTAATACCTAAGCCCAAACAGTAATTTCACCGTCCTTAAACACCTCTCAAGTGGTTCCATCAGGTCATGATTCTCTGCCTTGTTTCAAATTAGAGACAGCTCAGTTGCAGGTGAACAACCAACGTCTACATCACATTTAGGTAGGTGTTGGGTACTGGACAATTTAGTGTAGTTGTAGGCCAATTAAATTGCTCCTCAGGCTATTTGGAGAAGGTGAGTACCCAAATACAAACAAGACCATATGAGAAAATTGAGAAGTCAGCAGACACCGTTACGAATGAAGTTTAGAAATCCACAGCGAAAATTAACTTATACGCCAAATGAAGCAGTTTCTAGGTGAGTCTGAATGGTTTAATTTGATGCCGAAAATAATAACCCAAGTGGGATGTATGGTAATGTTAAAGTTCATAAGTTAGGATATCCTATTAGACCTATAGTTGATTTTATAAATTCACCTACTTATCAAGTGTCTAAATATTTAGCTATGGTATTAAATACGTAAACCAATAGGTACATAAATAAAAGCGGTCAAAAACGAACTCATTTACGACCAAGAATTTGAACTCATAACAAAATTGCCACTAGAAAATATTATGCTAGAGTGCAGCTATGTCTAACTTCTACAGTATTCAAATTCCTAGGGAAAATACACCAACGAACTGAGGGGGTTACCATGTGGTCCTCATTACCTCCGATAGTGGCAAATATATTCATGGATGGGTGGGAAAAGTTAGCGATTAAAACGTTAAACCCCAATACCAGAGTATGGTGAAAATAGGTAAATGATACATTCACCGTACTTAGAATACAGGATATAAATAGATTTTTTGAACAAACCAACTTGAAGGTGGAGGCAATTCAATTCAACGATGAACTGGAAAGTCAGGAAGGGGAGCTTCCAATGTTAAACTGCAGCGTAAAAAGGAAGGATGGGAAGTTAAACACCAGAAAAACAACAGAAAACCCACACATTCAAACCAGTATTTGGATTTAAGATCATCTCAACCTGTCGGTAAAAATAGGATTCGGTCGGTCGGTTTACGACATAGAACTTTGCACATATGTGCGGCAGTTCAAGTCGCCACACTCCATGTAGCACACAAAGCAAGAGAAGAAAGTAGAAATGCATAATATAGACAGTAAACAGAGGTGTGAGACAAAGGAATAGTAATAACGGAGAACAAAACAGTTTAATTGGAAATCATAAGTCACAAGGAGTGGATGCATCTGAGCCACTGAGAACGATTTTGAGTCATGTCACCAATTGTTTCCAACCATTGGTTTTTACCGTTACGAGGACCCCAACCAGGAATTCTACGTGGCTTAAACTAACTGATGTGGATTTCATTGACTGGTGCCATGTTTCCGTTTGACCGCCGCTAGCTCTTTTCCAGCCTGGCCCTATATCAGCTAACATTGCCCGGCGAGGAAGGCGATGACTAGGCATACGTAACACATGTCCCAACCATCTCAGTCGATGTAATTTCACAGTCTCGTCGACTGATTTCCCCGCCTTACCTAGCACTCGACGCCTAACCTCAATATTGCTCACCTTATTATACCACTTCACGCGGGAGATAGAACGCAGACACCTATGATCGAAGACAGCTAATCTTTTCATGTCTTCTGCTCTCAATGGCCAGGTCTCACAGCCATAAAGGGGGACGGAGCGGACTGTTGAGCAGTACACACGCCCTTTGGTCGATAGTCGGATGTCACGTCTACGCCAGAGACGGCGTAAACTGGCATATGCGAACCTAGCCCTCCGTATTCGTGCTGAGATTTCGTCGGAGATCAACCCGTTGGGGCTGATGGTACTTCCCAAGTAAGTGAAGTGGTCAACGTGCTCTATCACTTCACTTCCTATTTCTAATCTAGGAGTCGGTGAAGTCCAATCCTGCAGCATCATCTTACATTTTACAGGGGCGAATTGTATGCCAAACATACGAAGATTGTTGCTCAAGGTGTTCAGTAGACTCTGCATTTTGTCAGCGTCCTCGCCTAGAAGGACTATATCGTCCGCATATTCTAAGTCGACGAGATTATTCCCTGGTAGCAAGTCAATCCCTGAGTCGCCGAAGTGTGTTAGGGTTAAGTCCATTAATACGTCTATGATGAAGTTGAATAGGAATGGGGATAATGGGTATCCTTCACGGACGCCACTAGTCGTCACCACTTCAGATGACAACTCGCCATAGGCCCTCACCTGGCTGCATGAGTACGAGTAGAGTGCCTTAATCAGTGCAATGTATTTTCTCGGCATTCCCTTTACAGCCAAGCATCGCCAGAGAACCTCTCGGTCGACAGAATCGAATGCCGTCTTTAGGTCAAGAAATATAATGATTGTCGGACGCCGGTAGGAATTCCTATGTTCTAGAATCTGTCGAAGGGTGAAGATATGATCAATACACCCTCTTCCTGGCCTAAAACCTGCCTGGTTGGTGAGATATTTAGGTAATAAGGCACAAAATCTAAGTAGTACCAACGTAAATCCAAGATAGGAAGTGAGGCATATAATAGTAGCTTTGAAACTTAATAATTACCCTGATAAATTAATCAGGAAGTATGTGGGAAAATGCAAGAATTAGTAATAATGGTAGTAATAGTAATAATAACGACATGCATAACAAACGTGTAGAGAATCATGACAATACCAACAGTAGGGAATTTCAATTACCAGTAGTACTTCCACAACCAGAAGGAACCTGGGAAACCTTATCTAGAATTCTTAAGAATGCAGGAGTAAAATTGGCATTTAAACCCACAAACAAGACTTGTCACTGTGATATATATAATAAACAAGTGGAAAGAGATAGATCATACTGTATTGTATTATACTCAGAGAAATGATACTGAATTATCCAACATTTTGGAGTGTGACCAATCGGTGAGAATATTAAAGATAGTAAAACTCCTCTGAAAACCTGTTAAAATAAGCGGGCAGGTCTTGGGACGGAATGCCGTATGTTTTATAAGCTCAACGAGCTTTTCCATTCCCAATCATCCCAATCTTTCTAGGCTGCATACACTACTCGTTCAGCCACCAGAATGGAGAGCCGTACGAAATCCAAAGTGACAACAGGCAACAAAGCATAAGTAAGAACCGCAGACAACAGACAAAGCCTTTATCAAACATCAACCTCAAAGTGATACATATATATATGGACACCACCTATACTGTAGTATGTCACCAAATACATAAGAGTAACTCTCTCACACTGTTGGTTCCTAACAGCCTTCAAAATCTTTGGCAACTCAACAGTTTTGGAATGCTGAATTTATACACTACCAGTGCTCTAAGCTTTTATAGATTGATATAAAAGCACACAACCCCACCCAGCAAGACGTCAGAACACATTGCCTAAAAATACTTAGTGCAAGCCTACATGACTGAAAAGCATGCAGAGATGTACGACATTATCCATATTGAAACAAAGTTAACTAAATTTTAATCAAATGTACTGACCTACTGGTAATTGTAAAGTCTGTAGGGAGGACAGCGTTACAATGAACTTGTGACTAACCACTTTTTAAACACCAACGTATATCTCTTCCAGCTTCAGTGTTACAAATCTGGAACTTGGTGACAACATATACTTAAGAGGAGCAAACAGCGATGATTAGTCATTATGATAATGAAACTTTAATTCTAAATATGATACACCATATTTAAAGTCTGCTGTCAACTAACCTACGGTCAATCATTTCGATGTTATTTTCGCATACTTTTTATATTTATATGCTAGTTAGCTAGTTCTACCGAAGTCATCATAAGTCAATCGACTTTCTTCCAACATCCGGTCCTTGTCTTAAAGGGGGAGACAGATTCTAGAAAGTGTTCAAAGGAAGGCAACACGTATGGTACCTGGCATGAGAAAAGACTAGACAGCCTAAATCTCTTCTCCCTGTCATACCGTAGGCAGAGAGGAGATTTAATCACAATGTTTAAAATTTTAAATATTAACTACGAACCTGACCTATTCTCTCTTTTCCTTCCCACCAGGTCGGAACACCTTAGAGGACATAGCAGGAGAGTTCAAAATCAAAGAAGAAATCATATTGCTGTTGAGTACTGGTTCTCACACCGAGTCATAAACTCTTGGAACCGACTCCCAGAAGAAGTGGTGTCTGAAACCTCAACTGATTCGTTCAAGAAGGGTTTGGACAACCACAGAAATTTACTAGAAAAGGAGTAACATAGGCTTCAAGACTTTTATCCTCAACCAATAAATCTGAAATCTAAAGCTGAATCTGAACAGGAACACGCGAGTAGGCAGTGCCAGACTTCAAAGTAAAACGGTGTTAACTCAGATACATGCTGTCAGAATCCACACAGGTAGCTTAACCTACCGTGCTGCGACCAAGCGCGTGTGGGTATTGATTCCCGAGTTATTTGAAAATGTGTTTGAATCAACTTCTTTATACCTCTTGAAGACACACACCTCAAAAATAACTTTTTTGCGAAAATTGCCTCTACTAACTGTAGCAAAAGCAGTATAGCCAAAACATATAAACCATCACAAACCTAAGTTTATTCACTCACATGACAATTCATGTTTGTACCGTCGGAAATTCAAACGAGCGGTTATCGTCTAATGAGATATATCCAATATCGTTTTTACGAGCTAGTATAAACCAATTTGATTTCTTTGTGCTCGCCTCCTGATTGTGAGGTATAGGTTCCTGATCTTTGGTAAACTTCTGCGTAGCTCGGCCCGCCACTCGACTGTGGTAGCTTTGGTTGACTCCAAAAGGAGTAGTGAAGGGATTAATTATATGTGGTTTGAAGTATGAGGTGTGTTAAGACTGTTACTACTGTGAATGGAGTTGATCCTTTCACCAGTCAGTCCTCCGTAAAAGAAAACAGATAATAATAATAGGTATAATTAGTGAAGTTAGTCAGACTAACAGACAAAAAAGAAATAAAGAAAACGTAACGACAGTCAGCTGATTAAATTTGAAGAATAGTATGAATAATATATATAAATCGGTAATAATGATAATAATAATAAGTGTAGTTAAAGTTATCAGGAGAGTAAGACGGGAGCGAATGTAAAGCAGTAAAAGGACGAATTTAGTTGTCCACCCCTGAATGGTGTATGGAATTTTAAGGGGATAGGCCATTTGGACGCAGTCCTTGTGTCGCTGCGTGATTGTCCAGCCTTCGATTAAAGGCGTCCACAGACGGCGCCATAGCGGTAAGGAATTCCAGGGACGGTAAACCCACAGTGAAAAGAAGTGGGAGAGCACCAGGGTCCTTGCCCTCTGGTGAGCTGTCCTTCTGGGATTTCCACGAGGAAGTCTATACATACTCAATGGCAGAACACCTTTGTTTGGGTGATTTTGATCATCTGTTATTTTGTAGACAGTAATTAAATCCCTCCTAAGCCGACAGTAGCTAAGTGTGAATAGGCCTATTTTCTTTAGCCTTTCATCATATGGTTTGTTTCGGAGACCAGCCACTCCTTTTGTACCCCATTTTTGGACTCTTTCCAAGAGGTTTGTGTCTATTATAAGCATTGGGGGTGCAATAATATTATGCACTTCAAAGTGTGGTGTGACGGATATTTTTTGTACAACCTCAGAAAGAGCTCAGGAGTGAGTGCATCTAACTGTCTATGTGTAAAGTGTATGACCGCATATGCCCTCTCTACGTCCCCCGTGTAATTTACACTTGTTTCCAATTTTCCTTTAGAACTAGACCTAATGGGCGCTCTGACGTTGTGCAGGACAAGCTTTCATTGCACGGGGTGCAACTTGTATTCTGCAGTCTACAGGTGCGTAACTTCACTACTTTGCACATTTCAGGTTGAAAGTCATTCCACTGGCCACCGCCCAGTCTTCCGGAAACTTTAGGTTTGCCTGCAGCCCATCTGAGTCCTCCGGACACTTTGTCACCCTCCATATCTTTACGTCGTCAGCGTATAGAAGAGTCAGGCAGCTTAGACGGCACGGTAGATCATTGATAAAAATCAAAAACATCAGTGGTCCTAGGCTAGAACCCTGCAACACCCAAGATGATCGGACTCGATTGACCTTAGTGCGAAATTGCCTTTCAGCTAGGTAGCCCTTTAACCATGACAGAAGTGACTTACCTATACCTGCCTGGCTTATTTTGTGTAGGAGAAGGTTATGATGAACAGTGGCGAATGCCTTCTCAGAGTCTAGGAAGACCACATGGACTGGAACATTTATATCCCAGCATGATGTCCAATCATCCCAAGCTGATAGTAGGTTAGTTACGCAGGATCTGCCTTTCCTGAAACCGTGTTGGGCTTCATGGAGTATCGAGATATTCCCTGTTGTGATCGTCAGTAATACTTTCCAGTACTTTTGATACCACTGGGAGTAGAGCTACTGGTCTATAACTGGTGGGATTTTGCCTATCCCCACCCTTGAAGATCGGAGAAAGTAAAGCTCTTCTCTACTCCCTTGGCAGTTTCCCCAAATCCACTGAGCGTTGGAGCAAGTCGCATAAGGGTCTACAGAGAGCTTCGTCGCACTGTTTCAGAACAGATGGCCTGGTGTCGTCACAACCTGGGGACTTCCCAGGTGTGAGTCACTGTTGCTTCTATAGTACTATTGCCGGGTTTATTTGGGGAGTAGCCACTGGGTCTTCCTCCTATGAAATAGTAGTGCCACCATTTTGGTCCGTAACGGTAATACCCACATTGCCTTTCAGCTGTTTGGCGAAGGCTAAACTGAATGTTTCAGTCATTTCCAGACGAATGAGATATCGACCGTTTGGGCCTACTAAGGCGCATGCCCTCTGGTTGGTAGGTTTTCTTTCCAGCATGAGTCGATACAAGTTTTTGGGGTTTACTAAGAGTTTTTGGCAAGGTTAGCTTGAAATGACTTCCTGTCCGTCCTGACTCTCGCGATGCACCGGTTCCTGACTTAGTAACATGTTCTTCCCGACATGCAACACGCCAATATAAATTTCATTCCACTCCTTGAGTTTGAAAAGCGTCCCCTATCTCGGTGAATAGCAGTTTACCAACAGCTCACCAGCCTAAGGCCTTCAAGTCATTTAGGTCTGATAAACTTCAATTTAGGCCAGCTGGTACAATATACATACTCCTGATCAAGATATATACTATATCTGTTTCTCTATAGGCTACCTGGGAAAGATAAAGTTGCAGGATGCCTTGCTTTCGACAGCAGCCTGGAGTCATTCATTCGCTTTGGAATGAATAGCTGTCAGAGGATCTGAAAATTTCATGGCAGTTAATTATCAGCTCACAAAAAATCATATAGCCCATCAACTCAATAGTAACATAGCTTCACTCTTCATCCACGTTGCGTAATTTATACATACAGTGTACGGTGAACAGCATTCTGCCCGTCTGTGTAGAATTAACAAATTTCCGCTAGCCATTTAACACAGTATTTCACTCGGAGGTGAATACGGAAACTCATAGCCTCAGAAGAGAGACTGTTTGCACGACACATGAAAGTGGTTTCCAAATTTGAAGCTTTATCAGTAATAATAAGGAATGATCAGTTATTTATACCAATATAGATGAATTAAACCAATAGTCTAGACTCCAGTGCATGAAAATTGATTCCATACTGGATGAAATTTTATTCTGATAGAACCACATAGTGTTATACAGTAATATTCAATGATGAAGCTTCGAGCACAATTTATTGCTCATATCACATCAAGGTACTCACATATCTTTCTTGCTTCGTTTATATACAAGTCTTACATTGATTTAACTCAAATGTTTAATCAATTTTTGCTTATGTGGGTTCGAATCCCGGTGGGTGCGTACTGATGAAGAGTCCCAAACTAGGACGAAACAACTGTCCAGTACTCCCAGGTTTTCCAATGGTTCTCTAGCTAATGTCAGCTCATGATGAATATCCTGTAACCAATCAAATCCCTACAAACCAACACTTGAATATAAATATCTGTTGATTTCCTCAATAAATGATCTGCTGCCTAGTCCTTGTCTTCTGTCGTTACGTAACTATCAGATTTCCACAACACCACATATGCCATTTATTTTATGTGATGAAAATAGTGTCAGGCGCGAGCAAGCTAACCTTGTTTCCCATAGTAGATAAGCAATATTCTTAATCCTTATTCCAACACGTTTTAGTGCTATTATTCCTAGCAAGTCCTCTCGCCTCTATTTTTTAATTGTAAACACCATTTTAGCTCCGTAATAACTATTTTTCATTTTTTCCTATACCATGCTATTCAAGGAGAACACTGTACTCGATGCTCTATGACAGGCTCAGATTTCCATATTCTACCAAAAATATTGTTTGGAACTAACATTCTGTGACTATTATTATAGTCATGTTCTCATTCTATACTTTTCACATTTCTGAAACTATTCCTACTGCAAATATGAACAAGTTCTTCTGGTTAATTTGATCTATATTTTGAATAGATTAGATGCCATTTCTTGACAAACTTTGAAAATGCCAGGATGCATTATAAGTACTGATTCGTTATAATAACTTATCTTTGAACTTCAGTCTTCTGATTTATAAGGGTTTCAAGTCAATATGTTTCACTTGTCATAGTGCGAATCGTAAGATTCCCACGTATTAATCCTTCGATAAACACTCTCTGTATGCTTTCTACTTTTCATCTTTCTTTTATTGGGACACTGTCCCTGGTGGGGGGCAAGGGTAAAGTGACAGTCTTATGTATAACTTATACCGCAGAATTTCGGATTCAGACGCCTTGAATTTTCAGAACGAAATCCCAAGGAGCCTTTCAGCCTTTGATACCTGTAAGTTGATATATCCTGCAGAGCTAAGTCTTGGTTAGTATATCAAACCCGAACGTGACGCAAGTGGCAGGTGAGGGAGAGTTCGGATGAAATGTTTCTGGAGCACAGAACTCCACATTTTTCAACGTTATACTCTATTTTCCACTCGCCACACCATAACCGCACGCTATTGACATCACACTGGTTTATATCAAATTGGAATGACACTTTTTCAAACGCTTAAATTGTTGAATTATAGTAAAGCAATTATAACAGGTTCGTATAAGTGTTAAACCGTAAACCCTACACCAAGGCACCATCAAGGTTGTGCACCAACACAAACTTCGTTCTGTTTCCTGCTGATAGCTATGGTCAACCAATGAAAAGCCCATATATATAATAATAACATATGTGTAAGTGCTATACCCACACGTGGTTGAAAGCTATTTCAGGAAGAACAGAACGCCCCAGGAAAATTGCGAAATGGGGTGACATTCGCAGCACATGTGCAATGTGTTAGGCTAACGTGGAAAAAAGATGTTTTCGATAAAAATATAGCTATGTTCAAACATGGTGTTGATGTCGTGTTTTTTTCCAACATAGCAATCACAATTCAAGCAAAAGACGAAAACTAACAGAAGAGCAACTTTTGGTTTCATTAGAGGCCTGGGTAGGAAAGATAAAATAGAGTATAAATATGAGTAGATAAAAGATTATTATGAGGTAGGTAGGTGGTATTGCTGTAGGAATTGTCTTGAAACATCTGAACCGCTAAAACCTGTAGGAAAAGCTTATCTGTGGGATATCTCACAAGGCTCATGGT